AGCGCGTCAGAGGCGCACAGCGTAGGGAGGTCGGGGAGGAACGGAAGAGGCCCCGGGAAATTAGCCTCCCCACGTGGGGTTGGGCTGCCCTCTCGGGCAGGGGAGGCTTTGTAAAATAATTCGCTTTACCTTCGAAAGCAAAGGGAAGACGGGAGTGCCTGAAGCCAAGTGTCTCCTCAGGCCTCCGGTTGCAGGGAGGAGCCCTGATTGGCCGCACGTGGCTGCGCCAAACGCCGTGGCAGCAAGGGAGAAGGGAAAGCAACGGTGACCCGAACCCGAAGGTCTCCCGAATATCCAAGCTGTCGCCGCCCGCCCACCCACCCGAGGATGCAAGGGGGGAGAATTAAGTCACCCCCCGAAAAGACGTCCTAGCCGTTTTTTCGGGGGTCAAAAAAAAATAAGGCCCGGCCTTATTATGTGAGAAACACGGTAGTATATCAGAACATTAATATACCAGAATGGTTATTTACTTTAAAAACTGGTAATCGGTTAGGACAGAATCAATAAATAATTTATTATACAAATAATTAGAAAACCATCTTTAAAACCAAAACCAAAAATGAATATAATGGCTTAAATTTATGAACCATGTTTTTAATGATTCAACAGCAGAAGGCCTTTCCAAATAGGCACTAACTATACTAACTAGGATGATAAGAGCTGCTGCGAAAACAAAACTGAAAAATAATAGGTCTGGAAAAGCTGACAAATTTATCATGTCTCAAGAAAAATACTAACTTAAATGTTTTGGCATAAAACATTCTATTTCAGTCCGTGGAAACAAAATGAAAAAGTTTGGACAATAGTCAAAATACCTATTAATTGAGCCCATCAATATTATTGCTGCCTGGAATTCCACAGAGCAGGTGGCATAGAATACAAGTAAATTATTATGAATTGATGAATACATACTTCCCTCACATCTATAATTACTAACAGATGAGCATATATTATACAGTATCATAATTCTGGATTTAATATATCTGCATTAAGATAGCTGTAAAAATTTGAACAAAGATTTTACAGGTATTCCTTGACTTACAGCCACTGTTTAATAATGGTTTGAATCAACAACAGCTTCCAAAGTCAATTACAATCTAAATTTGAATTTACGACCATCACCCTACCCTTGTAATTATAATTCATGCCCTTGGCAATCAGCTCACATTTATGACCAGGTGCAGTGTTCCATGGTCATGTGTCATCTCATCACAATTTTTGACAAGTTTTTGCTGGTTTCTGATACAAAGTGGCAAAAGCACCATTAGTTAAACTGGACATGCATTTACGATTGTGTAACTTGACTTATGACCATCATTAGAATAGTTGAAAAATCCAGTACAGTCACAGGATGATTCTACTTATAACTGCAACAATTTATGATAGAAAATCTGATCCCAATTTTGGTGGTAAGTTGAGGACTACCTCTACAAAGCAATTAAGATTTATTGACTTCTTTTTTCTTCCTGGTTTCTCATAATAATACTGTATAAAACAGTACCATACAGCACAGCTCTAAAAGTAAATTTTATGACATGTATTTTTAAAAAGGACCTCAGAAATTCTAAATGGGAATAACTAAGAGTAATTACTTTCCATTTATATCTGGAAAGATATAAGAACAAATAAAGCAGGCCACTTGTATGCAATCTGACCGTTCACATGTCCACAAGATACTATAACAGAAATAAATACATGCCAGTTACTAAACGGCCAAATTTTGATCACATGACCAGGGCAATGCTGCAGTGGTTGCAAGAGTGAAAAACCATTATAAGTCACCTTTTTTCGGTGCCATTGTAACTTTGAACAGTCACTAAACAAATGATTATAAGTTGAAAACTACCTTTTCATTTAGTAAGGAAAAAATATAAGACACATACTGAATTGAGAACAAGTTATGAGCCAGTAGTGTAAAGCAATCTCTAGAAGCAGTGACACAGTTCTGGGATGGATCAGAAGAAATACTGTAGCAAAAATATAATGAATTCCTTATCCCCCTCTACTTTTGCACTGGTAACACTACATCTTAGTAGTATGATTCTAAACATATTTCTAGAAGGACATTGATAGATTACAACAGGTTCAGAGGAAGGCAACAAAAATGATATAGGGCCGTGATGGCGAACCTGTGGCACATGTGCCACAAGTGACACCCAGAGCCATTTGTGCTGGCACGCGAGTCACAGGCAAACTTACCTCACTGCGCATGTGCGCACCTCACAGCTGATTTTTTTCCGTTGGTTTGAGGCCTTTTTCGGCCTCCCAGAGGCTTGGGCCAAATTATAGGTCCGTTCCATCACTTCCTGTAATACCGGAAGTGACGAAACAGGCCTATAATTCATCCTGAAAAGCCTTGCAGAGGCTTTTCCCAAGCTTCTGGGAGGCCGAAAAAGGCCTCAAACCAGCTGAAAAATCAGCTGTGAGGCGCAGTGCAGGTAAGCGGGTGGGGGATTGCACACGCATGTGCAGGGGGCATGGGGAGGGGGGGCACACATTGCATTCTGGGTACTGGCAAGCAAGTGCGTGTGCACTGTTTTTGGCACAGGAACCCAAAAAGGTTAGCCACCATGATATAGGGATTTGGTGACCTGCCCTGGTTGAGGACAGACTGAAAAAACTAGGGATGTTCAGCCTGGAGAAAAGAAAACTATGAGACAGGATATCAGGATTCAGACAAGCAAGAGTAAGTTTTCCATTCCACAGAAAGTAGGATTGTTAATGGATATATGTTACAGCTCTTTTGTCTAAGTACAGGAGAAATTTTCCTATTAGTAAGATCTGTACTGGATGTATAATGGAGTAATCAATCTATGGAATGGTGGAGTCACTGTCTCTTAAGGCTTTCAAAAAGCTGGAGTCATGTCTCATGCAATATTTAACCTTAAAGTAATTAGCTTTATTATACACCAAAGCTGATTGGACTAGATCAAAGATTCTTAAATCTTTTTGTGCCATTAATTAGATACGTTATTTTTTTTTGTGCCCAAGAGTCTGGTGAAATCTTTTTTTTATAAAAAGTTTATTTTTTAATTATTTGAATACATCTTTGAGAGAACATTGTGGTTCCAGGTGTTTTACATTTTAAATCCATCATATCCACAATCGCAAATACAGCTTTCTAACATCACATCATTTTCTATTACCAAATTTTCTTCTTTATATTCTCATAAATTTGTATCAGTCTCTTTACTTTCAATCAATCTCTATCTTCCTTAGTCATATATTCTCATGTTCAGCATATTTACCATTTAGTCTATCCATATCAATTCATTAATCATTACAGCTTTCTAACATTACATCATCTATTACCAAATTTTTTTCTTTATATTCTCATAAATTGCTTTATATCGCTTTATTTTTAATCAAACTCTACCTTCCTTGATCTTATATTCAACATATTTCAGTTTAGTATATTTGTATAACTTCATTAACCATTTAAAATTTCATCTTATTTCATCCCCTTTCCAATATTACTTTTGCCAGTTGCATATATTAATTTTCTAAATGCTCCCTTCCCTCTAACTCCTCATTTTTGCACAAATATATTTTCCATCTTATTCTTGTAGCCAATATCAAACATAATGTATCCTCATTGTCTTTTATACATAACATATATAATTTAATTCATTAAAATATTATCCTATACTATATAATTATATCTATTCTCTATCAGACTCCACTTAACCTTCCCTTTTCCACCTTAGGTATTAGCCACTTATATCTTCCATAAGCATTTATCTGTCTTACTTAACTAACCTATTATAAAATCCTATTTTCATAACTATTCTATTTTAATTATTCCTTCTTATTCTTTCTAATTCTTAGTCCAAACCCCTCAAAATCTATTATATATGTTTTACTACTAAGGTACCTCTTCATGTGGAGTCCCTCTTTCTCAAGTTGATAACCATCATCTCTAAGTCTCTCTTCTGTCTTAGTTTGTTGTTTTTTGGCTTGCTTACCATTCTCTATCATCTTTTGGCTTTTTTCCTTAATCGTTCCTCCATTCTTCATCATTTTCTGAAATTTTTTTCTCCCAATTCTCAAGATTTATCCCCACCCTCTTCTGATCTCCTTTCTATAATTTCCAGTCTGGTGAAATCTATGGAGATCAATTATGCTCAAATACAATGCACAAATATTAAAAAGTAATATCACAATATATATATATATATATGAAAATAAAATTGTATCCCCCCCATACAAATTCATAGACATTGTGAAATCTGTTCATGGATCCTCAAAGGGTTGTGGACCTGCCAGTTAAGAACCCCTGGATTAAATGATCCTTGTGATCCTTTCCAACTCCATATAACATACCTGCAAGAGAGGTTTATCCTGCATCCACATACAGTAAAATAATCCTTTCCATATTTTTAACAATTCTTCTTGGCTGAAGCAACCTATAACACAAAAGTTATTTAAAAAGTAAATTGAAATTTGCCCTGCAACTGCTTAGGTGATGGAAACCCATTTATTAGCGAAGAATTATGTATAATTGAGTGGAATCGTCCATCTGCCAAAAATACACAATTAGCAGAGAACTATGTAGAATAGTTCTTTGTGCAATCAAATATCAATTTGTCATATTAGCCGTTAAAATGTAGCAGATATGTTACGCTATTCATATAAACAACATTTTAATGCATCTTTTGCTCCTAACGCTTTGGAGATGGTCCTTCCCGCTGGCCTGACACAGATGTTTTGTCCCACGTGCTTCTCCAACCTTACCCTCTAGTCTCTGGGTCCTGAGCGTCATGTAGCCACGTAGCTTTTTTAGCGCCCGATCCCGAATCCGTTTCTCGTTCGAGGCCAACCTCTGAGCAAATTGGACCTCAGGAGGTTGCCCAGCAGAGACGACAGCAGCAGGAGCCATAATCCCCAACAACCACGTCCCTTCTTCCCGAACAAGAGGCGCAGCTACATCGGCCTGAAACCGCTCCTTGGCGCCCGTGAATGGCGTCACGGACAAAAATGTGTCGCACACATTTAAAGTAACAATAATAGCCAAGCGGCTTAAAGATACGAGGAAAGGAGTCGTTTAAATTAAGCCTTATGTAACTAGCAAATCAAGAGAAGATAAAAAACTCCCGGGATCTGATTTTCAAAAGGCAGTGTCGTTTTTAGGCGCTGGTAGTGACTCTTAAGCACGCAGGCATTTTATACCTTGTAGTTTCGCGGCAATATTTACTTCTGTTAACAGACGTCCATATAATCAAGCTGACAATGTAGCTTACAATGGAGATGAAAAGTATAAAGTGTTCCATTACTGTATTTATTTGAAATTGACCAGCATTTAAGTTTAAGTGTCTTTTGTCAAAAGATTAGGAAGTAAACTCCTGTATTATTGTTCCAAAGGTTAGTCTTATATTTGAAATTCAATTTTGGAGAAAACTATTTTTAAGTATTACTATAGTAATACTTAAATTATGCAGTTATAACAGCAGGACTTTTGTAGAATAAAATAAATGAAACAATATATTATAATTAGATTTAAAGTAAAAGAAACCTCTAAATAAAAAGTCCATGTATTATAGTTTCTATAATACTTTCAAAGTAGTATATAAAAATTATTGTAATGCAACTCCATATGGGGTCGTGGAAAGTGTTCTGAATGCTTTTTATAGTGATTTGATTAAATACTACTCAATCTGTACAACACAACAAACTAGTGATATAGATTGAGTTGGGTTACAATATAGATAAATATTTTGAAATTTTATACATTGCCCAATTCAGAATTTCAGTTTTTAAATAATAGTTTGTTATGGTCTAAAATGTCAGTTCTGAAAAAAAAATCCTTAGGGTATATTTGACTTGTCAGAAAATGTTTTTTAAAGTTAGCTCTCATTCTTTTTATGCTGATGTAATAAATTTGCAATAAATTTGGAACCTTTTCAATCTATAAATAATTTTTGATTTATTGAACTTGGACCATTGCAGAAATGGGGATTAATATTTATATCCCAGACTCCTAATATCTTAACAAAATCTATCAGCTATCAATCAGCTCTGTACTGAATGAAACCTGAAAAGGTAGACAATATTTAGTTAATTTTATTGCACCAAGTCATATGTGTGACTTGCTGGCTCACAACAATTAAAACAATAACAAAAATAGTAGAAATGTATTAATAGTAGAAAGTTTAAAGATTGAATCATAATGTTGCAAAAATTGAAGTTATATAATTGGTAATAGTGTGAGATCCAGCTATATTTCCCTAAACGAACCATCAGAATTTGGGTGGATATTTTGAGTTTTGAGATTTGCCCAGCTGCTTATAGGATTTTATTTTTGTTTTTGTTTTATTTATTTTTCCTTTAGCAAAATGGGGTCCAAACGCTTGTCAGTACTTGTGGAGAATAAGGAAGACAAACTTGACTGAAATAAGTCAGATCTGTTATTGAAGCAGAAATCATGACTTAAGGTCAAAAGAAGAAGAAATTATACACAATTGACTCAGGCAAACATTTAAGTCACATGGAGTAAGGCAAAATCTGATTTGAAAAACCGCTGTCAGCCCCATTATGTAGACCAAATCAAGAAATCCAAAAGTAGAGTGATTTTTAATATTGGCACTAGTACTGGAGTTTTGTTTTTGTTGTTATGGCTCCAAGAGGGGCTGGAATCCTAGCTTCTATAGCCACTTTATTTACTTTATTTTATTTTAAAGAAAAGATCAACCTATTGTATAATAGTAAAAATATGACAGTTCTCCTCACCTTGACATCTTTTTCTCACACATCCAAACTACCAACACTGTATTTAGACTATGGAAATGTAGACAACCATTAGTTAACCGTTAGCAGAAAACAAACAAATCTTGGTTCTTGCCTAGTGGTTAGTTGGTAAATAATCCTTTGGCCAAAAAAAATGGACAAAGCAGTTGATTTATACAAGTGCTATATTCTTTTTGGTGACTGGTAGCAACTCTTCCTGCAATTGATGTTGGATGAGATGGGAATTTCAACCAGAAAAACTGCCAGTTATTTTACAGTGCCACACACAATACAGCTGGGCAGAATGGTGGCACAACTGGGTTCCAGGCATATTGTGGGGATGCTATGATTGCAGTTAATATGATCCCTCATCAGGGTGGTTACTTTATACTGTTTTGTACCAATTCAGTCTTTAACGCTAAGATGTTACATTGCAGAACAGTGATGAAAGCCAGTTGGTTAACTTTGGGTCATTCTCTCAGTCCAATCCACCTCACAGGGTTGTTGTGGGAAAGTAGGAAAAGGAAGATGTGTTGGATATGTTCGCCACCTTAAGTCATTTGTAAAATTCCTAAAGGCGGAACACTTAAAGTTCTTTTTTGGTAGGGGATTACTGTGTTGTCTTCAAAGTAAGCATTATTCATTAGCTTCATTTGTGTGTGTGTTTGTGGGTGGGTGGGTAGAATAGCGATTCACCGTAAATTAAATATACCCGATTAGAAAGGTTTATATTATCTTAAAGGATGGTGTTTTCAAAAAACAAAAATCTTGTTATCCATTGAGTTTAACACGTTCTCACAGGGTTACACCGAGATAACATCTCTCCAAAGTTAGGAGATCCCGGCCGAATCAAACAAGAAGACAAGAAGCTAAAATTTATTTATAGAGTTACTGATTCGAACTTCCACCTTCCACCGACCTTTTTAACCAACAAGATAACAATATAGAGCGGCAAAAGAGTTCTGAGGCCTGGCGACTTTCGAGAGTTGTCCCGCCACAAGATGACTGTCACGTGGTGTGCAGCGAGACTGAAAGGAGAGGGGACGTTTTTGGTCGTGTGTGAGATGGAGCGAAGTTGCTTATCTCGCTCGGCCTGCTCAGGAGGCGGACAGCAGGTAGCGGAAAGCGCTCTGGTTTTACTCTCCCGCGAGATTCTTGATCCTACGCTCGAAATTAGCCCTTTCCCCTCAGTTACGGGAAGACGGCCGGGGACAGGCGATGCTTCAATCCCCATCCCCCAAATCAGCCGCAATTTTATAGTGATAACAATAGGCTTCTGGCCTCCAGAAACCGACCACGAGGCGCTTTCTTCCCTTTTTCCATTTCGATGCATCCAGAGGCGGGCATCCTACAGGAATATGAATACAGGGTGGCTGAATTTTCACTACATTTAAGGGTGGTCATTGACAGCACCGTGCGTTGTGCGAACAGATTAATTTAATGAGTCGATGTAATCGTTGACTCCTGAGCCGCTTAAGAAGGATTTTGTATTAAGTGATGTGTATTTTAAGGATATGGTCTTAAGCGTGTTTGCTTAGAAATAAATTTAATAAAGGAGCAAATAAAAATACCTAGTCTGGTATGTAAAATAACTTATTGCAGCATTTTAGTACTAATAATACAGTTTTCGGAAATATAACGGTAATGAAAGACATTCTTCATTGTCATTGCACCTTGCACAAAGAAATTAAATGCCATCTTCAGTGTACATTATAACTATAAAAATAAAATGCAAACACACATCCTTCACGTTCTATACAATTGAATTGAAAACCCGATATTGCATTAATGTTGCACTATACAGTAGAATTCAACATAATTAGTGCTCTGGGATAGAAGCTGTTTTTAGCTTATTTGTCCTTGTTTTTATTATCCTGTATTGTCTGCCAGATGGTAATAGTTAAAAAAAAAGGGGTGGTGGTGGTGCCCAGAATGAGATTGATCTTTAAGAATGTTTTGAACTTTCTTAAGGCAGTGGGAGCTATAAAGCTCTTCCAAAGAGGGGAGAAGGCAACCAATGATCCTTTGGGCAATGACAACCCTCTGAAGTGCAGTCCTATCTGCCACTGTGCAATTGGCAAACCATATACAGATTCAGTAGTTAAAATACTCTCTATGGTGCTGCGGTAGAAGGTCACCAGCAGTTATATTTCAATTGTTATATCTCAGTTATATATCTCAATTGTTTCACAATTGTCTACATTCCTCACATGGAAGATGAGCACTTACTGTGGATGAATATATATATAAATGGATATTAAAAGTTCTCTATCTTCTTGAAGTAAAAGGGGGAACAAGTTGCCTTGTATGTAAAACTAACTTCTTTTTCAGCATTGTATGCGTACATGTCGATTTATAAGATGAATGCTTTTTCCTAGTTAAAATAAACATGTACTGCTGCAGTTAACTTGCCTTCACAGAATTTATGCAAAGATATGTTAATTTCTCATTTTTTTTCCACCTAAATACTCACCTTCCATCTGTTCTTTTATATACCATAATTTAATACTTCTGAAATGTATAAATCCAAACAATGTATGAAAACAATGGTTTAATATAGCCTAAAATGTAACAATAAAAGAGAAAATTTGTTGTTAAAGACATTTGTTGAATAGCAGGGAGAAAAAAGAGGGGGAAATTGTTTTGTTCTGTTGCAGAAAATCGAAGTAGAAGTTGAATTTGTTAAGGTCAAAAAGAGAGCTTTGGAGAGGTTGACAACTGAAGTAATGCAGTTGCATGACATTCTACCCAAGATATTGAATAGTGATGTCTTAGAAAGCTTTCAGAAACTGGATGCCCTTGAAACAAGTAAGTTCTCCTATATTAACCACAATTAATTCATAGAATAGTGTTGAATATTCTATGAAAATAAGACAATTGTTAATATTATTTGGTTGTATCCTGCTTTCTGTTCTTTTTATATTCTATATGCAAGACAGGAATATAGTAAAAATACTTAAATATAATATACAAATTTATAGGTTAGGAAAGACCCTACTTTTTTGTTTAAAAGAAATTAAGGTGCAAGAGTGAAGAATGTTAAGTAATATGAAATATTGGAATGATACTTTCCTTGCCTAATAATCTATTTCATATTGAGTTGAAAAATGGAAAAATTGAAATGGAAAAATGGCTGATATGAAAAGTATTAAAAACATTCCTCCTGCTGCTTTTTTCCCTACCAAGTGGTCTTTTTATGACAGAAACTAAAATTGTGACTTTACAACTTGAACTGCATTATGCCTTCCACTGGGAATTTGTGGAAGCAAAAGAAAGATACATAGCAGTAAGCAGTTAAAAGTTGAAATTAAAGAGGAACTGTACAGTTACTTTTCCTTCCTTACTCTTGATCATATCTGATCTAGTCACTTCAGCCTCAGTACTACTGTTCATATTCTTGCGGTTTCTGAGCGAAAGAGAGGAGACATAATTATTTGCTGCCTATCTGAGCCAAATATAATAACCATAGCAATAGCACTTAGACTTATATACTACTTCATAGTGCTTTACAGCACTCTGTAAGAGGTATATATTTATATTTATCAACCTCGGAAGGAAGAAAGCTGAGTCAACCTTGAGCCGTTCCTGGCAGTGGGCAGAATCAGCCTGCAATACTGCATTTTAACCACTATGCCACCACGGCTGTGAATCCATGACATTATGGATTCAGACTGATAGTCTAGAACAGGGGTCGCCAACCTTTTGGACCTCGGACACCAAACTCATAATTTTAAATCCCAGGGACCACTAATTGGTTCTGTGGGTGTGGCCTAATTTGTGGGTGTGGCTTGATGGTCGTGACTGGCTGGGCATGGCTTGTATGTAAATATTATAAATATTTATATAAATATTGAATTTTTTATAAAAAAAGCAACTTTTACCCAAAATCAGGCAAAGCAGGCAGGCAGATTGAGTTGTTCACAGAATCACAGATTCATTCAGAGATCTATCTGCCATTGGCTAGCTCAGTCTGTCACATAAAATTTGCTTGCAAGCAAACTCATAAAATTTGCTAGCAAGCAAACTCACAAAATTAACTCACAACACACCGTGTATGTAAATATTGAATTTTTTTATTAAAAAAAGAGCAACTTTTACTCAAAATCAGGCAGGCAGATTGAGTTGCTCACAGAATCATTCAGTGATCTATCTGTCATTGGCTAGCTCAGTCTGTCACATAAAATTTGCTTGCAAGCAAACTCACAAAATTAACACACCATGTATGTAAATATTGAATTTTTTATTTAAAAAAGAGCAACTTTTACCCAAAATCAGGCAGGTAGTTTGAGTTGCTCACAGAATCATTCAGTGAAATATCTATCTGCCATCGGCTAGCTCAGTCTCTCAAATTTGCTTGCCGTGAGTCTGCACTGAATAATAGAACCTTCAGTCCTAAGGGAGGTTTGGCTATGCCTAAAAGCAGAGCTGAAGATCTAAAGACTAGTTAGAAAGCAAGAAATCTAATCTAAATCTCCCGGCACAGCAGAACAGATGATGGTCGGAAAAAGGAAAAACAGCAATTTAGCAGGCAAGTTTGCCGAGTAATGAGTGAGTGGGCGGGGAGGGTTCCCGCGGGCCATGTGGGCTGTGCAGCCTTGTGTTTCTGCGCAGCCTGGATTAATTGCTTTGGGGAGGTGCTCTGGGGGTGAAATTTCTCTGTGGCCCACCAAAATTTTCTCACGGCCCACCAGTTGGCTACTGCTGGTCTAGAATATGCGCTAGTCTATGATTATCCTGTTTTCGCAGGACTTGTCAACATCATTTTCCTGATGTTAGTTATTTATATTTGAGAGCATATTAAAAAATCCTTTATTTTTGTTCTCCCCCCCCCCAAAGTGGTTTGTAAGATAATTAAATGTTGAAAATCACAGAATCAGTGGTCTAGCTTCTGTTTGTTTACCAAATGTATATACTTACAGAGTCCTACTAAGCCATACTGAATAGGTGACCTTATAGTCACTATTTGAAAATCTCTAAGAATGATCCATTAATTTATCAGGTATCATGTTTCTCAGTCAAACAGCTTATACAAATTGAGTTCTCAATAAAGTTTAAGAAAAAGGTCTGTTTTATAAGTTGAATTTATTAGTTGAAGTACACACAAGAAAATACAACTGCTTTGTCTTATATACAACTGGTTTTCAAATATTTGAAGATGTCTAACATATTATCTTTTACCTCTGAGTCTGAAGGTTAAAAATATAGTATATGCGGTACTTCAACCTGTCCTTGAAGGATTTGGTTTTCAAGCCTTTTACCATATTTGTTACTTTCATTATAGTTTGAGTGGTAGTATTTGAATGACTTGATTTGTTTTGCTTGTGGTCCTCCATTTTTAGTTGTAGAAAAGAAAGGTAATGAACTGGAAGAATTGAGAATGGATTGTGAACACTATAAAGCTCGCTTGGAAGCAGCCCAGGCAGACTGTGTGAGAGAAAGAAAGGTAAAGGAGGATTCCTATTCATTACCCAGTTTATATATAAAAACTATTATTACATTTGCTGGGACTTATTTGAAATCATTATTTCTTAAATTTACATCTTATCTCTCCTTCAGAAGCTTAATGTTCTTTTCCTTTAGGAAAAGATTTGTGGTCTTGAGAATGACTGGCGCAAACTCAGCCAGTGAATTTTCATGGCTAATGATGGACTGGATCATGGATCTGCTTTGTCATAGACAAATACCTTAATTACTATACACCAGCTATTGGCAAATAAGGTTAAAAGTTCAGTCTTTTACTTTCCAGTTCTGTATTTGTTTTCCTGTATTTCTCTACCTTTTAGAAATCAGAGAATATATATCTTAATATACACAGATAGGCTAAAGTTATGTGAGAGACAATATGTGCCAATATTTTGCTCATAGAATTGCTCTTTTAATAAGGTGAAACATGCTTATTGTCAGATTAGCATGACAATCAAATAACCAAAGATATTTTGTATGAGGGAATATTAGTAAACAACTAAAAGTAACTGTACTAAAGAAATTCTCGTATTAGATATTTTTTTCTAGCATGATTGTTCTATTTTCTCATATAGATTTGAGATGCAAATCCCATGTATATGTATATCTAGAGAAGTCCAAAGAGATTCAAAGAGATGACATCTACATAATTTCATTGTTATGTTATTTCCACTTTCCATCAGAAATTTCTGCCTATAGTTAATCAGTTTTCACCAATCTAATGTCTTTGCACATGTTGGTGTACAACTTTCCTTATTTCCAGGTTGCATGGCTGATAAAATGTCAGAGGTTCTCAGATGTTCTTGCATACTTCTGCAAGTACCCTCTGCATGCGAATCAAATAGAACGTTTTTAACAATTCTTTAATGAATCAGCCAAAAATTCATTGTGATATCAGATACAAGACTGCCCATTTCTCTAGGAAGGTGTGTGTGCACTGATGAGCAGAAAACATTTCTTTGGTTTAAGTCACAGAAGATTGCAGAAACTTGTTCCTTTTTCTGTTAACTCTTTGAAGTAGTGATGTATAAAACTGGAAAGAATTGCTGATGAACATATTGAAGTCTTCTCTGTAAGTTAAGCAACATCAGACACAGTATAGGTATATATATTTGAAGTAATCACAAATAATATAATGAGTTTCAGGTTTGCATTGCCTTTCTTTAAAGATCATAAACGATCTGAATTATAAGTTTTATTTTAGTTTATTGCCTTTGTTTTATTATTTTGTATCCAAACTGAATATGATGGTTGACTTATCCTCTGTTTATATATGGAGGTGGAAATCTATTTTTATTATTTAAAAGTACAGGTAATCCTCAATTTACAACATTCATTTAACAACTGTTCAAAGTTATGACAGTGCTATAAAAAATAGTTACAACTGGCCCTCACACGTACAACTGTCACAAACCCCCTGCAGTCACATGATCAAAATTTCAGTGTTTGGCAACCAGCATGTATTTATAACAATTGCACTGTCCTTGGGTCATGTGATTGTCATTTGCAACCTTCTCAGGAGGCTTCCAACAAGCAAAGTCAATTGTGGGGGCACAATTTGCTTACCAACCATGGCATAAAAGGTTGTAAAATTGGGCACAATTCACTCAATGACTTTATCACTTAGGGGTAGCATTGTGGTCCTGATTGTGGTCATAAGTTGAGAGCTATCTATATTTACAGATGAAGAGAATTATTTCCTGTCTTCTGTCACCCAAGATTTTTGTTTCCTTGCCTAGCTTCCTTTTCAGAGAGACTTAGCTTGGATAAATTAAGGTTTCTAGATTTGGGCTGCACCGGTTTATCTGAGTACCCCACCAGCCAGGCACTGAAGTGCCGCAGCTGCAGCGAGACAGAGAGAGGGGCTCTCCAAACTCTCTCTCTCTGTGTATGAGAGAGAGAGTGTACGAGCCCTGTTTTAGTTGGGGCACCCCAGCTGCTGGCAGTGGCGCGGGTGACAGAAGCCACCTGAGCAGTGAGGTGGGGGTGGGGGTGGAGTATGAAGCTAGGCAGGGGGGTGCGGAGCTGCCTCCCCACACCCATTAGCTTACCTGAACATCCCGCCAGCCATGCATTGAAATGCCACAACTGCTACCGCAGCAAGACAAACACTGTGTGTGTGTATATGTGTATGTGAGAGCCTGCCTGCTTTGGTTGGGGCATTTAAGCTGCTGGTGGTGGCAGTGGGGGATAGGAGCCACCTGTTTTTCTCCTCGTCCTTCCCACTGAAGCAGCAGTCGGCTCTGTTAGACAGCAGGGCCTCTCATTTCTCCCCCAGTATGGTGAACTCCAGCTTCAGTTGGGGTGTTTAAGCTGCTGGAGGTGGCAGCCACCTAATGATTGCCCCCTCCCCAACCAGTCAACCTGCACTGCCTGATCTGCTCCCTGCTGGCTGGCACAAAGCTTCACCATTCTTCTCTTCCTCATCATGCTGCCTGCCCAAGTGGCAGCAGGCTCCACAAGACAGGGTCTCATTTGTACCCCGGTGCAGCGAACTCTGGTTGGCTGGACGTGGATGTGAAGGGCCTGGTGCCACAGTGCTTCCTTGCTGAGTGCTTCCTCAGTATCTTACTGGGTTAGGGAGGCCTTGAGGGATCAATCTATCACTAGGCCCCTCCATGGCCTTCCCCACCCTGAGATATCTTATGTGCACATTGGTATTCTTGAATTGTGATCTCTTAGGAAAGTATCCCCTCCTTGTGTGTTGCAAATAGCTATTTTCAGTGGGGAAAACAGGACAAGGAAAGAGGGGAAGAGAGCAAGGAAGGAAAAAGAAAGAGGGGAAGGAAGAAGAAAGAAAGAATGAAGGGGGAAGGAAAAAGGGAGGGAAGGAAGGAAGATTATAATGAGAGTGAGGTTCTGAGGTAAATCCTGCCTTAGCACGGCCACCAGCAGCTCTTCTGCCTTTTGCCATCCGCTTGTCCCCTCCTCCTGACATCTCCTGGTGGTCTCCCATCTTATCACTGAGGATGCTTTGGTTACAAAGCCAGGCCTCCTCGCAAGGAGATGAAGTGGGCCTCCCTCTGACCCACACACTTTGCCTTCCTGCACACACCCTGAGCAACCTGGCCAAGGAGAGCAAGCACAGCAACAGTGGGAGCTAGCCATGCCCACCCTGGCCATACCCACCCTGGTCACGCCCACCCCAGGCCCCCAAAGTCAACTACAATCCTGATGCGGCCCTCAATGAAATTGAGTTTGACACCCCTGATATAATACAGTAAACTTGGTCAAGTCTAACTTGCTTCTTATACTCTCTAACATGCAGTATGAAAGCATTTAAGGTTCTCAGCAGCCAAGCTTAAATACCGTATTTTTCAGACTATAAGACGCACTTTTCCCCCCTAAAAAAGTGGGTGGAAATGTCTGTGCGTTTCATAGAGCGAATATGGGACTGCTTTTGGCCTCCCGAACCTTCTGTGTGTCCTGTTTTTGCCTTCCCCGGCATCCAGAAGCACTCTGCTGGCCAAAAATAGACTTGTTTTGGGGTCCCAAACCCTCTGTGCCAGAGGTGGTATCTAGCCGGTTCTCACTGGTTTGGGTGAACCGGTAGTAGCAATTTGGCCTAGTCGCTGAACCGGTAGTGACTTCTGGCTGGCCATGACCCCTGCCCAGTCACCCAGTTGCCACTCACTCACCCCTTTTGGCCACTTGATGCTCGCTTGCCCCTTCCAGCCACTCGATAATCGCCTCATCCACCCCCGCCCTATATATGTTGCCTTTGCCACATGGCCCAGCTTATCACCTCGCCAGTTGCCTTGCTGATGCCCGCTCAGCTCATCTCATCTCACCAAAGGTAAGCAATGCATGATGCCTGCTCAACCTTTGCCTTGGGTCAGAGGCTGGGGCCCCAGGGACGTGCCATTCCCCAAGGCCCTGAAGCCATTGCCTGCCTTGGCTGGGTCAGACAACATGTGATTCCCTGGCTTTGGCCTTGCCACCACCCCCTTGCTGTCTGCCTCAACCAGGTCAGGGAATGCTCCATTCCCCAGCTCCAGACTTGCCCCAGCAGTCCACCTATTAACCACCCACCTCAGCCGGATCAGGGAACACACAAATCCCAAGCTCTGGCCTTGCCCCAGAGCTGCCACCTGCTCACCACCCGCTCTTCCTTAAGCGTGACACGTCACCCCGTTTCCCCACCTTCAGAGGCCCTGGCTCTTAATCTCCCCGCTTCCTTCCCCACGACTGCCTCTTTCGTCGTCCCATGGCTGCAACCTTACCTTCCTCCTGCGGCTGGCTTGCAGGAAAGGCAAGCCAGGGATGAGCCATCATTGCCACTGGGCTCCCCACTAGCCCAAATCTTGCTCCCTTTCTCGCGAGATGCCTGCAGCTGCCGCATGTTTTTTTCAGATTCGGCTGGAGTCTAGCTGCACTGAGAAAAAAACAGCGGCTGCAGGCTTCTTGCAGCAAAAATTACTGATTTCTGGCTTCATTCCACTTCTCCAACGTGCCACTGCTACCGGCCTGTTCTATGCGCCAGCCACCTGCGCGTACCCCATTACTTGCTGCCACTGTGCCTGAGGGACTTGCCCGGGCAAGTCCTAGTGGAGCGGTGCAGCAGGCAATGGGGTGCGTGCAGGTGGCCGGTGCATAGAACAGGCCAATGGCGGTAGCATGTTGGAGAAGTGGAGCGGAGCCAGAAGTCAGTAATTTTCGCGGCAAGAAGCCTGCAGCTGCTTCGTCTTTTTTTCAGTTTGAGAAGCCTCCCAGTTGCTGCCTCTTTGCCAGCCGGAACCAAGCTGGCAGCAGCGGCTAGCTCGAGGCTTCTTGTGCGGAAAACTACTGGAGGTCTCGAACGTGCCAAAAAACCTCTGCTGTTGCCCCCCTGTTCTTTGACAGGACAGTGACAGCACTGCAGCGGCCTGGGAGGCTTCTCACAATCGCACTAAAAAAATAGAACTTGCCTTCCCCTCTGCCACCAGCTGCTGCGGGAGGAAAGTAAGCCCAAAGGAAGAGGTGGTTGTGGGGGAGGAAGTGGGGCTAGGGCCAGGGCATCTGAAGGAGGGGAAATGGCAACATGTGTGACTTGTGAAGGGAGAGCGGGTGGCATGCAGGAGGAGGCCTTTGACAGATTAGGCCAGGCCTGGGTGGAAAATAGGTGAAATAATTTTTTTCCCTTACTGGGTTCTGTGGGTGTGGCCTGGTGGGGGACCATGTGACTGAGTGGGCATGGCTGTGAGTGACTCATACTTGACACCCTCACCAGGCCATGCCCACCAAGCCATGCCCACAGAACTGGTAATGGAAAATTTTGAATCCCACCACTGTTCCGTACATCCTGTTTTTGCCCTCCCCGGCGTCCAGAAGCACTGTGCAGGCCCAAAATGGGCCTGTTTTTGCCTTCCGGAGGCTTCTATGCATCCTGTTTTTGGCCTCCCCGTTGGGGAGGGTAAAAATGGCAAAAAACTATTTTTTTCTTGATTTTCTCCTCTAAACCTAGGTGCGTCTTATGTCCAGTGTGTCTTACAGTCCAAAAAATACGGTAATTGTTATTTAAATTTGCTAAGAGATTTTTTTGCAATTTCTTACAAAACATTAGAACTATCTGAAAACTATAATTTATACTACTGATCACCTCTTTATATTTTGATTATTTTCAGGAAAAATTAAATATTCGACAGCAGCTGAATGATGCAAAGCAACAATTATTACAACAAGCTGAATATTGTACAGAAATGGGTGCAGCAGTATGCTCATTATTATGGAGTGTTTCTAATAATGAAGATGCAGTTAAAAATATTCTAGGAAGTGTAAGTTTAGCCATTTTGGGGATATTAAATCATTTAATCACTTTTGGAAGATGAAATCACTACCAGCCTTGTTAAAATCCTTTTTAAAAGAGCTTACTCTTTTTCTCAATCTAATTGGAATTAGCACACTATAGTCAAACGTGACATATTTGCTGAAGACTTTCTAGAGTCTACATTATGGTAAATTTATTCCATTTGAGGCCAAATATTGGTCCAAACTTAGTCAACAAGATTGGTAGAATTTAAATTGTCCCTTAATAATGTTAAAGTAAATGGAGAAATTTAGAAGACATATTTAGGAATTAAATTTGTTTTTTGTATATGTTATCAGTTGAATACTCAGATGCAAAAGAAATAAGCAGAAATTTTAAATACTTATTAAGCAGATACAGATGGAACCAGATTAAATAATAAATAACTAATAACGTGTTAACTACTTCTAACTGATATCTAGAAAAAAATCTGTCTTTACCATCTTCAGGAATGCTTCTATGAATGGGGCACATTAGCTTCTAAGGGAAGGCTATTCCATAAGTTTGGTGTTGTAACAAATATCTGGCCTGAAACTGTCATTCTCACTTTTATGAAAATGAGAAACAACAAATTTCTAAGATAGATCAATTCTGTTTGGAGAAGATGATCATGCAGTAGATAGTTCCCAAACTATATACAGCTTTATAAGTCAAATCCAGAAAACCATGGACAACCAATACAGCATAGATGTAATGTGTTCTCAGTAATATCTGGTTGGTAGACTATCATAATTCGTATCAATTGCAGTTTCTGAGTAATTCTCAAAAAGGGCTCTATATAGAGTTCATTATAATCCAGACATTTGGTGAGGATATGAGTTACTGCTGCAAGATCCTCTAATTTCTGTTGAGCAGATGTACCAAGACTGGATAAAGATCCTATCAGTGGTGAGGCCACTTGGTCTTTACATTCCATATCCTCTCGTTTCTTCTTTGGACCCTGGTATTTCTCCAGCTTCTCATACTCGTTCCTGATGTTGCTGCTTAGCACAGCTACATCTATCACCACTGCTATTGTCTATTGTCTGCTATCATGTTTGGTTAGTTTGCCTGTTGTCGGATTTGGACTTTCGGTGGCACTTCCATCGAAGACAGATCGGAGTCCTTGATTGTACGCGGCTTTGATTTGTGCTCTACCCATTGGAGGATCCCAAACAGGGCTGGAGCCACCTTGTAGGGGTGGTGAAAAAGGGGGAGACCACCTGCTGCGTCGAGGGGAACCACATCTCCCCTCCCTTGCTAGGAACACTCCCACTGAAGATGGGCTGTAGTGGTGGTCTAAAATGGCCACCCTGAAGACAAAAGACTGACCAGGAAATAAGGTTGTGCTGGAGCAGTGAAGCTGTGAACAGTATGTGGACCAGGCAAAATATCTGGAAATTAAATGGTAACTCCGGAATTAAAGGGAAGAGTTATTATAAAGATTGTAGAAGTGGCGACTGAAGAGAGAGAGGAAAATTGGAAATTCAAGAAATTGGACTTTGGACTTGAAAAGAATTTAAATTGGATTTGAAAAAAACAGAGGAAAATGTTTAACTATAACAGACTTGGAAATTGAAATGGATAACTACTTGGATTTTGACACTGAATAAGCATTTTAAATGCTGGAATTGACTATTAAAAAGGAATAATAGCTAATAATTGGAAATTAGCGAAATTAATAAAAGCTTCAAAAAGCAAAAAATAAAAGGTGGAAAATTGAACTGAATTAAGAGTGCCACCTAATGGTAAAGGAAAAAAAATCATTGACTTTTTGAAAAGTGCTTGCTCAATTTAAGACTAGAACATGAAATGAAATAAATGGAATTTTATTATAACAAACCCCCTGAAAAGTGGAATGTTAAAACAGTACAGTAAAGGGATATATGAAGATCTTACTCTGGAATTGATTGTTGGCTGTGAAAGGAGTTTGAAAAGAAGCAAATTTAATGGAACTGAGAAATAAAGACTTATAGGCATTGACTGTTCAAATTAAATATAAAAGACGCTAGTTGAAATAAACTACTGGATACAAATATTAAAGAAGGAAAAGAAGAAGTGCACAAAATGATTGGAATGTGTATGGAAATAAGCAGGGGTGGGATATGACAGGGTTAACTACTGGTTCGGGATTTACGAGGTTTGGTGATTTATGATGTGCTTCCCTGCACGCTGCGAGAGCGCGCCTGTAAATCGTCATCAGCATGCTGAATGCAGAGAAGCAGCCTTTGAAACAGCCCTCTTTTCCTGCTTTTTTAACTGCAGTTGTGCCTCGTTCGGCAGCTGAAGTTGAAAAATCAGGAAATAAAGATCAGGTAAGAGCCCGGGTGGGTGGGCAAAAATATCAGCAGGCATAGAACCAGTTATATGTCTGCTGCTCTTCAGAGCTACCGGTTCTACAGAGGTGGACAGAACCGGTAGAAACCCACCCCTGGAAATAAGGTCAGAATTGCAAAGTGAAGAAAATGATGAAAAAAAATTGGAATTATGGTGTATTATATTAGAAAAACTGGAAATGGCGATGCAAATCAAAGAAGAACAAAGAGAGCCAGAGGGGGAGGAGTTAAACAAAGAAGAAATCAGCCTTAAAGAACAAGTGGAGCAACGGACATTAAGACAGGATAAAAAAAGGAGTTAAGATTAAAATTTTAAGGCGATGTGATAAAGGGGGAATTGCTTGGAAGGTTAAACAAAGGAAGAGGAAACAACAGAAGAGGGAATCACAGAGGAGAGATCAGAAGAGGAAGGGGGACAAAACATAGCTGGAGCAAGAAATCAAGAAAATAATAGGGACAAGAAGGGAAATAAAGGGAAAGGACCAAAAAAAATGATAGAAAATAAAAAGCAAGCAAAGATGAGAAGAAATTATATAGTCAGGAGGATTAAAGACGATGGATAGTAGATGATAGGAAAAGAGGTTCTGCGTGGAAATGTATTGTGGTATTTAAGAATATAGATATAAAAATGGAAAATATTGGAATTGACATTACATTAAGAATTATTGTTAAACTAGATACAAGTCTAACCTGAAATAGATATGGAAATGAGAATTTACTATAAGAATATTAATTAATATTTAGTAATGTGATAATAAAGTAAAAATGGAGTATGAGAATTGAAATGGATAAACTACTATTTGCCTTTAAAAATAATTGAATGGATTAAAATGGGAAAAATAAATTTACTATGTAAAGGTTTTTGGAATAAATATATAATATAAATATATTAGAATGTAATAGAGGAAAGGGAATACCATGTGGAATCTGATTATATATATATATATATCATTATAGTTGTACTTTAAAAGCACAACTATAATGACGTGGGAAAATACCCGAACAAAGCTGAATACCATACATATAAATGTCGTGTCGTCATGTGATGTATCACAACTTTTCCCCCCTTCGCTAAACCGGGCATGGGTGTGGCCAGCGTGTGATGCATCTGGGCCGCGGGCCGCGAATTTGACAGCCCTGGTCTATCCCATACACAGTGCAGATGTTCTTGTACACAATGCCACCTACTTGGTTGTGCCATTCAGTATTTCCTGCTCCTGCTTGCATCTTATTCCCTTATTGCTTCTATGGATCTGGTTCTTAGAGCTTGTACTTGTGCAGCTGTGCTCAGGGCTTTCATGCTGTCTTTTATTCTAGCCCTTTCCAACCACTGATAGGATTTCTCACTGACAGCCAACTCGGTTATCTGATGATGGCACATCTCATGGAAGGTCATGGAATATTGGAATACTGCTATTGTGTCCCCCCAATCCATTTCTCTAGAGTTGCCAAACCCAAATCCTACAACTGTTCATCATATGTTTTAGTCTGAAAACCATTTGTCATGTTTTAGTCTTCTCTAGATTTATTTTAAAAAACCTGCTACTATCCCTAACAAACATGAATGGTTGTTTTAACATTGTTTTTAAACCTTGAAATTGGACTGTCTTAAAGACTAATAATTTATCATAATACAAAGTTATCTGTACTGTAGTAACTTAGACTGCTTATTGCAAGATTTGTTTTCTTAGCAACAAACTGTTACTTCTTTAAAATTTCTTACCCATTATATAACTGTTCAAAATCTCAAAATGTGTCAGTGAAGCCATCTGTAGCGTACACCAAAGTTTGTGTTGAATATAAATTATTTATGATATATTAACTGAAGAATTATGTTGACCAATGCTGTAAATTAAAAATATTTATAAACACCAATTGTCTAGTTATGCAAAAAATCTTTATCCTACTGGATTGCTATGTTATATAATTAGAAAAACCTTTGTCCTAGGGTAAGAAGTACCTTATAAAATGAACAACATTTAACTATATGTTTCCTTTTACATTTCATTGTTTGAAGTGCTAGTTTTTATAAACTTGTTGGTTTATTAAATAGTTATTTTACTCTGTGAAATTTCAGGCTCAAGCAGTAAAGTTTTTTAATATTGCTGGACAAACAATGGAGAGTTTTGTCTGCTCTTTAAATGAAGATAGCAAACATCAGGATATGGATTCTGATGAAAGTCAGTTTGTGTTAGGTTTGGCTGGAATTGTTACAAGTAAGTAACTTCTAATATTTTATAGAATAATAAGAAATCACTTAAGTTGACTTACTGCAAATTTATTTTTTAACTTAGCTTATTTTAGTATAACCATGTTATTTATGAAAACTGATCATACCATATTAATGTCTTTCTCCTTGAGAATATATTTAGTACTAATGCATCTTTACTTACTTTGACCAGAACCATATTTGACAAATAAAATAATTCTTCTTTCCTCTCTGGTAGAAAAACTATGGAGTATCTGCCTCAGATTATGCTATGCTGCATCTTCAAAATTTCCGACATTGAATCAAAGTTTTCACTTTGAAATAAGAAAACATAACTTGTTCATAGTTTGAACAAAATATAGTTTAACATTTCTTTCAAATTTTATTTTAGTGATTAATGTAGTATAAATAATGTATCAAAGAAATAATAACATACCACATCTCAAATGTTCTAGGCAGTTACATGTACTATATGTGAAATCAAAATATTTTTCCTGTACACTTTTAGAATTCTCCCCAAAGTTACATGTGCTTATTTCTATAGTGGTGTTGATTTTAAAACTTGGTAATGATACGTAGGGAGACAAAGACCATTTCATTTCTGTGTCCTAACCAGGATTTGCATCTAGAAAACAGAATTTAGCAGTTGCATGCAGCACTCCTCCAACAGATCCAGTTAAGATTAATTCTTAACAAAGTGAGTCACCTTGTTTTATGTCAGGTGAAATTCTAGACCATCAACAATAAAAGCCCCATGTATACTTTTAAACATATTTCTAAATAGTTATATAATATTCATATAAATTACTGTCCCAACTTAATAAAAGCAAACAAACTAAAATACAGATGTTCTGCAGCACAACTATTTATTAGCTATATATTAGTTCTCATGATTTGCTGGTGAATTGTTTGTGAACTGGAATTCATATGCATATTATAATTATTCTGGATTATTAATATTTGTGGATGTCTTGTCCCATTACCTGGAGACTGTTAGGGATGGAGGAATAGATTCAGGTTCAGTCCTAGCAAGACTAAGTAGCTATGAGTGGTTCATATGACATGGCATAAAGCAGGGGTGTCAAACTTGATTTCATTGAGGGCCGGATTAGCATTGTGGTTGTCTGCCAAGCGCCGGAGGCACGTCATGTGGATGGCTAGATGTGCTTACTCTGTCCCACTGTCTGTTTTGCCTTGCAGTTGGAGACCACGGCTGATCATCTCAGCCCCCTTCGCAGGTCTTGCCCTTGGCCTACACATGAAGCGCGTTCCCCTTGTGCATCCAATACACCTTGGCCCCACTTTGGGCTGCCGTCGCCACCACTCAGCAAACTCGCCCAGCCCAAAGGAGGTGAAGTGAGCAGCTAGAAAGGCCGAGTAGAGTTGGTAGAGCATGCCTAGGCCTAGGCCTGTTGGCAGACTGATGATGTCAGGCACCAGCTGTCCCACCCCCTGCTTCACCTTGGCTCGGCCCACGGTGGTGGCAGTAACCTGAGGCAGAGGCACAGGGGGGAGACATGTGATCTGACCTGCTGGATGTGCCAGGCAGCCACTTTCCCTGTCCCAGCCACAAGGAATGGAGCAGGCACATCTGGTGGTCTGCATCACCTGCCTCCCTCTGCCTCTGCTTGGTGCCGATGCCACCACCACACACATGTGAACGGCCAGGAGCAGGGCCTGGAGACACTGGTGCAAGCATGGTGCTGATCTGCAATCTGGTGGTGGCCATCCGGCTGGACTGCAGCCAGCCTTAGATCTGCAGTGACGCCTCGGCCCCATCCCCATGGCATGCACATAGGAGGCGGTGAGCCAGTGGTGGTATTCAAAAACTTTTACTACCGGTTCTGTGGGCGTGGCTTGGTGGGCGTGGCCATGTGACTGGGTGGGGGTGGCTTTTTTTGCAGCCCCCACCCGTTTTGGGGAGCTTCTTAGCCACAGAGGAACCTCTGGGGAGGCGTTTTTGCTCCCCTAAGGCTCTGGGGCTCAGGAAGAAAAGGAACAAAGCATGGGAGGGGCACGCAGCACTCCTCCAAGGTCCGTGTTGGGAGCTTCCTAGCCTCAGAAGCCTCGGGGGGGGGGGGGGTTTTGCTCCCCCCGGGGCCCCTCTGGGGCTCGGGAAGGCAAAAAATGGAGGGGGGGGCTGAGCTCCTCCCTCCATTTTTTGCCTTCCTGGGCCTCAGCAAGGGGAATCCTGGCACAGCTGATCCTATCTACAGCTGATTATTGGGAGGGAAAAAAGAGAAAGAAATACCTTAGGCGAATGTCAGGCAGGCAGGCGGGGTGAGCAGGCATCGGGCGGGAGGGTGACCAGGTGGGGGGGCGTGGCCAGCCAGAACTTACTACCGGTTCGGCGACCCACGCCAAATTCTTGCTACTGGTTCACCCAATCCATTGCGAACCGGCTGAATACCACCACTGCAGTGAGCGTGAGAAAGCTGGTGTCCTGGGTGAAAAGGAAGTGCTCAGAACGCAGTCCCCAGGGACTCCAGGTCCCGCATGCTCACCCTCCATGTGCATCCCAAGGGGCAGTGCCGTGGATCTAAGGCTGGCCACGCTCCGTCCTGGATGTCCTCCACCAGGTTGCAAATCAGCGCATGGTTGGCCTGAGCCAGGCCGAGGCCCCGCGGGCTGGTCCTTTGCTGTTTCTCGGGTGACTCCTGCGGGCCAAATCTTACCATCTTGTGGGCCTTGAGTTTGACACCCCTGGCATAGGGCCTGGCTGTTTGAGGGACTGCCTGTCTCCCATAGTGTCTGCCTGTCAGCTTGTCCTGTGTGCTCCAACATTGTCAACTTGCTATTGATTAAGTAGTATCCTTCAGTGAGACCCAGAAGCCAAGCCTTCTCTTTTGCCTTTGGAGCAGCTTCCCTCCATAGTGTGGATTTCCTGCCTGCCGTCAAGCAATCTTTTGAAACCTGTCTGTCCCTTTTTTTCATTCCCACCCAGACTTGGATTAAAATGGTTTGTTATTTCCTCAGTAGCTGTTGTTCATATATATATTTATCTTTATGCATAATTTGTTTTAACCTTATGAAGCTACCCAGAACCATTTTAGAATTAAGCAGACAATAAACTTACCAAACACAGAAAATACTGCCTAGCATTTTTTTCGTTGTGGAAAAGTTGTGTGATCATTGTTATTTTCTCTCTCTCTCTCTCTCTCTCTCTCTCTCTCTCTCTCTCTCTCTCTCTCTCTCTATCTATCTCTCTCTAATCTTTTTTTATTCTTTAAACATCTCTTTGAATGAACAATGTGATTCCAGGTTTTAACATACATACATAATCATAATTACATAATTAGCATTCTTATCCAGTTTCATATATCATTACCTATCCCATTTTTCTTTTGATATGTTTTATCACTTTATATTATTCCATTCATCATTTCCAGAAAAAACAATTCCATCTTAAAATATATTATCCAATATTTGTCCCCTTTCATTGTCAATTCAATCTTGCCACCCATTTTTATTTTATACATTCTCCCCATTATATTCCCTTTAATCCAATATATAAAAAATAAAAAATCAATAGTATCAATATAGCCATTTTAATTACTACATTTTATATTAACAACAATGATCTCCTATTTACTATTATATACGCATATTTTCCCCCCAATCGGGTTCCACATGGTATTCTTTCTCTATTACATAATAAATCTTATATTTATTCCAAAAACATTTATATATCAAATTTCTATTTCCCATTTTATTTCCATTTATCCAGTTATAGATATTAATAACAATGTAATCATTTTTAACTTCTGTACTCTGTATTCGCTTTCTTCATCACCTTGCTGAATATTACATAGTAATCTTCATATTCACTTTCCTCATCACATAATTATATCTTAGATAGTAATCTTATGATAAATTCTTATTTCCATTTCTATTCCAGTTAAATTTATTTGTCTATTTTTAACAATAATTCACAATAAACTTTTAATTCCAAATTCCCTAACCTATATATCTATATTCTTAAGTACCAAAATTTCCATGCAGAATCCCCTATCCTTCACATCTTTAACCATCATCTCTTGGTCTCCTAGCTATATCATTTATTAGACTCTCATCTTCGTGGCAGCCATTTTAAGGCTACCGCTACAGCCTGTCTTTGGAAGGAGTGTTCCTAGCTGAGGAGGGGAGATGTGGCTCCCCTCAATATGGCAGGCGGTCTCCCCCTTTTTCACCACCCCTACAGGACAGCTCCAGTCCGGTTCGGGACCCTCCAACAGGAAGAGCACGAATCAAAGCCATGCACGATCACGGAATAAAATAAAAGACAATCTCAGTCAGTTACCTTGAGCTCTTGGGCAAAGGTCATGAAATAAACTTAACAAGTAAAACAATAATCTGGAATAATTATCTCTGAGTCCAACCTACCCAACTGCCCAAGGGTGTCCACAGCATTAAATCACAAAAGTCCAACTCTTTGGAATGTACAACATCTTTAATGTTGCTTTACACATTTAGAAAGAGGTGGAGCTTGTGCTGCAACACTACTTTTATCAATCTGATCCCTTTCCCTTCCATATCGATATTAATAAGAAAGTTGCCTTATGTGTGACATGAGTGGAATATAAATTTAATTAATTATTTAATAATTATCTACTAGAGAAAAGGTAGGATATAAATCTTAAGTAATATAAATGAATGATCTGTGTGCAACTAATTAGCAGGCTTTCTGAAAGTTACTTTTTCAGTAGTGCTCTTAAATAAGAACACAACTTATTTAAAGTGTTTATGTTTTATTTTGTCTTTTCTTAGATGTTGCTGCTTTAGCAATTGGTCGTGAATTCCTTGTTGGTTCAAATCAGGAACTGCTGGACACAATGATTCAGCTGCTGAGAGATATGAAGCCAGGATGTTGCACCAAATTGAAAGTGTATGATAATCATTTTTGAATTAAAGTGTTATCTTCAATATCTTATATTAATATTACATGAAACAACATTACTTTTATATTAAACAAATTTATCTTAATATGCCACTGCTAAAATGTTGTGGCAGAACAGTTAAAAATGCATGCTCTAAATAGTAAATTTTCCAAAGAAAAGAAAGTACTATTCAGTCCCAAACCTTCAATCTAAGCAACCCAATTAGGATAGCAATTTATTTTTTATCATGCTGGGTAAAATTGCAGAAATAAAAATGGAATAATACTAAATCTATCCACATATACATTGGGACTTCTAAGTTGTTTCTTTTTGAAAAGACAACTTTGTGCAAACTTGTAAGTCATTTTCAAAACTCTAAGAAGTTCCAGAAATACTCTTCTTAGTGTATCAGATATAAGGGGTGGACTGATAAAGTAACAAGTTCCAGCTCATGAATACTGTTACTTACCCATATATTAACAAAAGTTTTCTACAATAAATTATTTGACATGATTTAGCCTGGAAAAAATTTCCTTAGTTTTTTTAATTACAAGTAATTTATTTAATTTTCATTTGCTACTTAACAAAATTGCATTATGCAGATTTTAGTGTCTTATATATTATTATAAAGAATGGACAGCAGGGGGTGTTATAGGCTAGATTTTCAGAGATTGTGGATCATAGAACTATATTTTTGTGGCTAAGAGAATATATATTAAAACGTTATACCTAATGAAAATGCTTAAGCAAGTATAAATATAACTTTGTGATGTAAAAGTTACAAGAATAGTGATAATAGGAGGAGGTTTTGAAGAATTAAGAAGCATTTCCTAGGGCCTAATGTTCTAAATAGAGTTTTCCTTTTGTACAACTTAATAGTATATATATACACTCTATAACTTCTGTAGACATTTATTGCACAGCTTTCTCAATTGCCTAGAAAAAGAACAGCTGAAAAACAGAAGCACAAACATGCTTTTCTGTAACACTTTTTAAATCTGGTTTGCTGTGTCTGCTGATAAACAGATGGTAAAAATGTATTGCAAAGTGTTAATATTTTCTGTTATATGAAATTTAATATGATTTTCTTTGTTTAATGACTTAGTGGAGCAGCTGTTCCTATTTTCTCTGGGAAGTTTTGAATTAGTATATGGCCTTCTTGGAAGTTGATAGATGGGAACAAATTGGAACATTTGCTTATTGTTAGTATGAATGGTGAAACAAAGTAGCAGATACTGACAGGGCAAAAAAAACCCTTGTTCCCAGTGTTGCTGTGTATGATCTTCAGCAGATAGACCTATTGACTTCTCTTTTCAACAAGAACTAGCCCTGTGATAATTATTGTAGTTTTTTCTTCTAAGACAGTTTCTGTAAACCAAGCTTTTAATTTTCTGCTTTATTTTGATGATATATTGAAAAAATAGTTGCAGGTACAATGCACTTGTAATTTCAGATGTGTTTCTTATTCGAAGTGGTCTAGCATTTTCACTCCCTCATACAACTCTATAATCTACTTGATGGATGATACTCATAAGGCAACAATTTTTGAATCTAGAATCTATTTGAATCTCAAATAGGCTAATTTACAGAATGTGTCCAAAATCTAGAATCCATGATTCCAGTAGAATTGAAATTTGGCAAATTTTATAAAACATTTTGTGACACAATGCAAAATGTCATTAATCATTTCTTGTGATCCATTCCCGATATTTGACTGTATACAGTTCAATTGCATATTATCAAGGTAGTTACATCTCTGAATATCTCCCTGAATTTTTAAGAACTTTTCAAGCATATTTGAAGTTCTGCTGTTGTTAAAGGCATTGAGAAATCTGGTAAGGAAATATCTCAGAAGTAATGACCCAAAGACTCATGTGTTGTCTAATTTGATCTAAATTCTTCTGAGTTCAGGATTTCTTACATTTGTTAAAAAGAATCTTTAAAGGGATTGAGATGTAAAATAACATGTAAAGCAGATTAAGACCCATAAGTAATATATTATTAAATAACAAGAAATTATTACAATCTTTATGTTGGCATTCAATCTATATTTTCCTAGGAACAAATATCGCAATAGAAATAACTTTCAATCTACTCTAAAATCTAGCCTGGAGGCATGTAGCAGAGCCTCCAGGCACTGTGGTGTTTGTTATAGCCCATGAAGGAAGGAGGAACAAAACACTTAGAACCTTTACTATCTCCTTTCTGTAGTGAAGAGAAGAAGGCATGAGATTACAAAGCTCTCAAAAGAACCCATTCCTTCTTTTCCTCTCATTCTTTTTACAAGTACCTGCTGTACCTCCAGATTTAGATAATATGCTCCACCTCTTTACTGTTATTCTCTATTTTTATTCATTCACTTTTTCTTATGATACTTTCTATAGTACGACTCATGTTGTACAGTTTAAAGATTAAGCTTTATTTCAAAGATGTAGTTTTACTCATGAAAATATAATCAGTTAAATTGGTTTTAAGCCCTCATAGTAATTTCATTTATCAGGTTGCCCTTACATTTAAAACAAATCTAGCACATTTCTCATTAAACGCAGTTAAATCAAGGATTTACTTGTATATATGTACACATATGCTACTACAGTATCTTCAAATCAAAAGGTGCAATATAAATTTTGACCAAAAATTACTTCTTTGCATTTCAGTCATTTTTTAATTTTTTATTGCAGGCTGATGCTAATGTCCTTATATAATATTAGTATTAACATAAAAGGTGTGAAGTACATCAGTGAAAATGCAGGATTCTTCCCACTAATCGGGTGGCTCCTGAATGGTAAGGTTTTTATAAATACAATAAAAATTGAGGATTTTATTGTACAATATTTATTCTACAATAAATAAAAGTATAAAATGCTCAATAACATTATTTTTAAAAATTGCTCCTCTAAATTTATTAGAACAGTATGTTATATACTAAAATGTTGCCAAAAAGTTGTGTTGTTTAGGATCAGTGTAAAAGATAGAACATTTATATACGGGGACAAGAAAGAGAAAGGCAACAGGATGAACTCTCTGAGGAAAAACACATCAGAGTTGTAATTAGCAGGTGATACAGCCAAGGTTTTAGATTCTGATATGTAATGATGAATGATGCTAATAATAGTAAATTTATTAGTATTTTTAATTATATTTATGATTACTGCCCTTTCAAATATTCACAGATACATTATATTGTAATCCTTGTAATAGGCTTTTTTCACTGAATAATTTTCAGTGTTGCCATTTTTAATATTGCACAGGGAATGAATGAAGCTAAAAAAACCCACATAGTTGTATCAGTGAGTTGAAGCAGAGGCAACATTCAAATCGAAGGGCTTCCTCATTTGCAACTGAATGTTTTTATCAGTGGTGGTTTTCAAATAATCTTACCAACAATTTGCTGAAGGTGGGAGGGCACACACATATGCATGTGTGGCTTCTGCGCACCTGGCTTCTGCGCATGTGCGTGCGTGCACAGCTTCTGTGCATGCATGCAGCGAAGCTCGACCGAGCAGCCTTTTGGTGCCTGCTGCCCTCCATCTCTGTTCTCTCTTTGGTGCCTACTTCTCTCCGCTACTGCTCTAGCTGGGAGAGCGTCTTGTGCAATTTAGCAGCTGTGAGCCGCTGCTTTGGTCCTCTAAATTGCAGCTGAGAAAAACAGCATTCAACATGGCTGCTACTTCTCTGTGCCACAGCGCTTTCCGGATGGAACTTAGAGGACCCAAAGCAGCAGCTGACTGCTGCTAAATTGCACAATATGCTCTCCTAGCAAGAGCAGCAGCAAAGAGAAGCAGCTACCAACCTGCAGAACACATGGAGTGTCTCCACAAGTGACTGAGGCTCAGCAAGGGATGGAAAAAAGGGCTGCAAGATCTCCGCTGCAGCGCTTTCCGGATGGATATTCTTAAAGGTAAGAAGAACCATCTGGTCTGTTCCCAAACTGCTTCGGCCCTCCTGTGCCCATGCTGCCCCCCCCACAGCCCTTTGGCCTAGCACAGCAGGCCACAAGCCAAATAAATTCCTTTGGCCTGGAAGGCTGTAGTTCGAAGTCATAGGGGGGTGGCAGCATGTGGGCAGAGGCTCCGGGGCAAGGCTGGAGCCAGGGAATGATGCATCCCCAGGCGCTGACCTGAGGCGAAGAGCGAGTGGGAGGCATGCTTACCTTTGGTGAGCAGAACAGGCAAGGTGCGGAGTTTAGCTGGGCTGTGTGGCAAAGGTGAGATATATGGGGCATGGTAAGCAGGTGGGCGGGAGCAGGGCCAGCCACAGGTGGTATTTGCCAGTTTTCTAAACTACTCAAATGTTCTGCTAGTGGTACACCAGAGCAGGTCCGAACCTGATGAATACCACCTCTGGTCTTTACCATTGTTCTCAGTGGCTCCCCAGTATGTATTATTTCTGATTTAAAAATCACAATATTGTATGTGCTTATTTAGATATGTGATTATTTTCACTGGAATATATTCTCAAATAAATGTACATAGGAATGGAAGTTGCAATCCTAAGCAGAGAAGATCACTGAACATAGTACTATATGTTTTATTTGTAACTAAACATTCATAGGACTGCACTGTATATATAATACTGTTGTAGAGCCCTGACATTGAAACTTTAGTTTGTTATTTGATTTCTATTTCTGCCCATCTCAACTAGTGACGACTCAGATCAGAGCTGTCAAACTCGCGGTCTGTGGTCCGGATATATCATGCCCTGGCCATGCCCATGTGTGGTTTAGCAAAGGGGGAAAAAGTCTCAAGATGTCACATGACAACACCTTGACAATGCGAGTTTGAGACCCCTGGCTTAGATGCTTTCAATATTGGTTCATCTTCTACTCTTTAGCTCCCTCTGCTGGTCAAAGAATAAATCTTTTTCTTAAAAAAACTTTTTTTTTAGATCAGTTGGTATCTTCTGCCATTAAAAATAAAAAGATTGCAATCTCCGAAAACGAACAATCCAGAATTGCAAATTGTAAATCCCAATGTCCTCACACAGGTGGCAAGTTCATTAAAATGATAAAATAAAATAAGAATTTTTAAAAATCCTTGTTTGTCCATCAAAATTAGAAAGAAAAAAGTACTCCACACTTCCTTATTTTAATTCACCTCCAGTGATTCTCCTCCTCCTTGTTTAACAATAAACCCCAAATGGCACAGTCTTTCAAAAAGAAGTAACAGTCTGTGACCAAAAAGAGCCCTTTTTTAGTTTAGTAAAGATCAGATAAAGTGTTTAAGAAGTGAAAGGTATGACTTATTTTCTGTTTGAAAAATAAATTCCAAAATGGTTGCTTTTTCAACAATGAAGTGATTGCAGCCCTGGCTCTCATCTAGACTGCTCATCTGAGAACTTCAAAGTGCCACTCTAGAGACTTCTCACAAGCTGACACTTGTGGGTGATTCTGGGACTCTCCCTAACCCAGATAGAGATAAAGAAATCCATGCAGATTTTACTCCCCTAGTTGTTGCTGACTATAGGAGGCAGTGCTCATCTCCATTTCAAAGGCCATTGAGCCAGCACTTTCTGAAGACATTTCCATGGTCATGTGGCCAGCATGACATCACGGAGTGCTGTTACTTTTCCCACCAAAGTAGTACCTATTTACCATACTATTACTATTTACCATACTATTACTATTTACCATAGGTCGTCTTTTCGAGGGGTGTCCTATTTCCCCCACACACACCTTGCCTGACCCCTGGGCCGCTTCTTTTGAGGCTGAAAAGAGTGAGCGTCATGCTTCACCTGGCCGCCGGGCCACTTCTTTCGTGGGTTTATTCTCTAATACCTCTCCCTCCCTCTCCCCCTCTCTCTCTTTTTTTCTCTCTCTTTCTTTCTCTCTCTCACACACACCAATAATAAATCCAATCCTAATTTTTTTGGGGGGTGGGGGGGCTTAATATTACGCCTACCCCAAAAATAAGCCCGGGGGATGGTCATGGCCAGCATGAGTGGCGGCACGGGGGGGGGTGGCAACTGTTCAGCTGCAGAGCGGGGCAAAAGTCATTCTGCACTGAAGCAGGGGCATTCTGAGCCTTCAATGTATCCCAGGATTGCAACGCTGAAGGTTCGGAATGGAGCCTTCAGCGTTGCAATTCTGGGATATTCTGATGGCTTGGAGTGGAGCTGTTTTCTTGAAAGGCAGGAAAATGGGGAGAGGAATTTTCCTGCCTGTTATCCATTCCTCTTGGAGCACGACCCTGCAAGGCTTGTTGTGGTGTTGCACTCATGAATGGCAGCACCTCCGTGAGCTTCTGGTGCAGCTGGCATCCTGCTGTGAGCGGCTGTGCCAGTGTATCCAAACTCGCAGCGATGCCGCTGCTCGTACATGCAACAGCATAGCAATCCTTGAAGGGTCCTCCTCGAAGAGGCTGCGCCAATGTGACACCTCACAGCAATGCCGCCGCTCACACGTGCAATGCAACAACAAGCCTTGGAGTGGAACTGTTTTTGCAAAAGGCAGGAAAATGGGGAGGGAGAGGGAGCTTGAGAAATAAATGACAGGCAGGAAAATTCCTCTCCCCATTTTCCTGCTGTTTGTGAAAAAGGCTCCATTCCGAGGCTTCAGCGTATCCCAGGACCCTGCAAGGATTGCTGTGCCATTGCTCGAAGAGGCTACGCTGATGTGACGAGCCTTACAGCAATACCACTGCTCACATGCGCAACTGTTAATGTTTGAAAGCTAGTTACATCAAATAATTCTGATAAATACCTTAAATACCTTATCCAGGAAATTTGGAGTATATAAACATAGGAGTATATAAACATAGGAAACTAGGAGTATATAAACATTTTCTGTAAATTGTTTAACATTAATACAGAGTAGAATATGATACCTGAAAATGTGATCCCAGAGTTGCAAATACTAGATATTAAAAAGAAAAAAAATCTAGGATTTTTTTGTTTTGTTTTATCCCCTTTTGTCTGATGTAGGGAGTGCTAACCAGCCATCTTTAAAAAAAATGTCAGAGAATAAGAAAAAAAAGGAACCAGACATGCTGATTGGCTTTACCATTATTTTAATTGCATCTATTGGCACAATCAGAATTCCCAGTTGTCTGGAATAATGTTCCAATTTAGGGTTTTTATCAAACATATTGAGTCAGAGAGCATTTTAACATTGGGTTCAGAGTCAGTGGATATTAAAGGTAGCACTGCTATCTCTGTGCTTTGTGGATTTAATGTAGAGAACATTGGTAAATAGGCAGCTGAAAAATTAGTTTTAGAAGGACTTCACTGGAATAATTTAGAACTTCTTTAAATTATAACAATGGTAATTATTTTTGCCATTTATTGTATTTATATGGTGACCATTCTTTAAAGCCACATCGCTATACTATTTTCTTTCTCTCTTCTAGATCCAGATCCAGAAGTAAGTTTTCATGTATTACGACTTCTCCAATCCATGATTATGGAGCCAGATATATTAACTAAGTCAGGTCTTGAAATTCGTGAATCCCTACCACTTCCACGTATCCTTTTGCTATCAAAGAGCTGTAATAAAGATCTACAAATTCTGGCCCACGAGCTGCTTGAGGACCTCAGAGTACTAGAAGGTGAAATGTAAGACCCTTGCTGAGGATATCATTAATTTTTTTTCAAGCATACGTTTAAGTTCTGTAATAATTTGTAAAATATTATACCTGCTTTCTAATATATTTAGTCATTGTAATTAAATGGTTTAGATGCTTGGCATTCCTGCACAGGAATCCCGTCCATAAATAGCATCTCAGAATTTCTAGGCTTGTGATGTATGAAGTCTCTTAGAAATACTGAGTTTAATATCTGCAATATTACCATAACCCTCCCTTAATCAGAATCTTACCTGATAGCTAAGGGATATAGTTCAGAATTTATATTTTCTACATCATAACTTGTTAAGATAAAATCAAGTACCTTTGGTCTGTATTATTCTTCATCTGGCTTCCTCTTATTTTAGTGACAGTGAGAATAGTCTTTAAATTTTGATTTTTAACATCAAAAATGATCCCAACTTAAAAATCTAGTAAAGGATGGAAAGACTTCATTTTTTGGTAAATATTTATATCAAAACTGGAAGTTAAATTACCAGCAGAATTGTCTGGGTGAAAGATTACTGGGCAGAAGGCTCTGTCTGTTTCCCCCTGGTTTCTTCACACTATATAAGTTTACTGCATTGGAAAGGGATAAAAGAAGAACATTACCATTAGAAAAACTGCCTTTTCCTTTCCTGGTACTCTCCTGGGTCCTAGGATTTTTAGAAGGATTAGCTATGGAGTAGCATAAGTTGTAAAGCTTTTTTTCCATTGCTGACTGTAGACTTCTATTTCATTCTGTGCCTTCCAAAGTTGAGCCTACCAGCGTAGCACGTGACTCCCGCAAATTGCCTCTTATGTTATTCTAGAGACAAGGGGAGAATATAAGTGGAGACAGCCAACAGTAGCTGTCAGAGTTCATTTTGCCCTAGCACCTCACTCATAGTGGTCTAGGCACAAGCATTATCTTTGGTTATTAGCCGGGCTGATTCAATTTGGTGTTATCATATTTCTTATTCTTTAATGCTTCTGTGCCACATCCCTTCTATTTCCAGGGAAACTGAAAAGATAACTACCGTTTATCCTGTATCTATGATTTTGTATAGTGCTAGCTAATTTAAAAAGGTTAGCATTTTAAAAGACTAGCCAAACAAGGTAGAGACTAGCTAAAAAGAGCCACTAGCATCCTCCTTTGGGCTTTAAGCAACTAGGACGATGACATTTTGCTAGGCCTGATTGTTAGTATGGTAAGAAATAATTCATGGACATACAAATATATTAGTAACAATTTTTCAATGGTCATTTATTAAGCATTTAAGAGTTTCCTGCTGTTCCTTGCTAAAATGAACAAGGAGCAGTGATTTTATCTCCTTAAGATTAAGATAGTCTTTCATGTTGTTTTTAAATTGTCTAAAATGTTGCAGTGTAACTTTCTATAGGAAAATCTTCAAACTGAAGTGGGGGCATTTTTATTGATAAATTTCCATGTCTTCCCCCATAGTTGTCTTTGCACTGAGAATACCCATCTTCTGAAGTTGTAAGCTATTTATATTAGTATTGTAAAAGTATTGCCCTCTTTTATTTTCATAATTAAGATATTTAAAATATGCCAATACTGTGGAATGGCTGAACATTAAAATGCTGAAAGCATTCAATGTTGAAAATAAAATAAATAACTTGGGTAACTAGCTCTGCACTTCCCTGGGTTCTCTTTTGAACAAAGGCCCACTTTTATTGTGGCTAGGAGACATCCAGAATGAATAAGAACAAAACATGGATTTTGATATTTCTGCTCTTTTTTTTCCAAACTCTTGTTACATTTAAAAATATATATCTGAAGAGACATGTCCTAAGAATTTAACTTATTTACAAAAGTTCTACTTTGGCTTTGTTTTTTTTATGAATACCAATTTTCTTCTGAGATGGATTTTGGCTTTTGAAATTCAGAAATTATGAAAAATATAATTGTAGTGAAGATGCAGTTACATTTTGAAAATAATATTGAATTGTATCTTTTTTTTTGAAAGAAGTAATATACATACTTATTATAAAAATGTTTTTGAGTGCTTGAATAGTCTTAGTCCTGATATGTTTACATTTCCAGTTCTCCCCATTACAATGTGTTGCCATGTTGGCTTAAAATTGTTAGAAGGCAAAGATTTAATACAATAAATAAAATTACATTTGATTATATCTAAGTTATCTTTATGTCTCATTGATGTATTGAACCATGCCCATTCAACTTTGCTGAATTCTGGTTTCAAATTTTAATACAGTGCTAACCTAAAATCTATAAAAGTTTGTAATTTTAGAATAGTCAGAAATTTTACTTTCCAACAAAAGATTAATTTTAGTTAGAAGCAAGGAAGGAGTTGATGTTATAACTTTGAATGCCGAAGAGTAAAAAAGCACTCATTTCATTAAAAGAGGCATCACATCATTATCATATATGAAAAGTAATTAATGATTTGTAGTCTAAAAATCTTCTGGAAAAGAAGTCATCTTTTAGAAATAATATCCCTATTCTCTGCAGAAAAGGAACACCAAAGGAAGACTAATAAAATAACACGATAAAAATTATTTGAATCAGCTTGATAAGGGTATGTTTCATGGTATCAACTTATACAGTTTTAACTAGACCAAGGGTCTTCAAACTTGGCAAGTTTAAGACTTATGAACTTCAACTCCCAGAATTCCTGAGCTAACATGACTGGAAGAGGAATTCTGGGAGTTGAAGTCCACAAGACTTAAAGCTGTCAAGTTTGAAGACCCCAGAATTAGACAATAAGAATTATTAAGTTACTCAACACCTCACTGAGATGTAGGTGAATAATTAACAGGAATAATAAATATATTTAACTTAAAAAATAAATCTGATAAGACCTGAATGTTATTTTTTTCAGTAAGAGAAGTTAATAATAAAACCAAAAAGAATGGTTATATTGTAGACTGTCCTGTTTCTCCACCTCTAGCCCCATTTATGTGGCCAATGGTATATTAGTCTCAAAACTGATTTTAAAAAATACAGTAGCCAATAGGTACCAGAAGTAAATGCATTCACTAATTTAACTGAAGATCCAGTTATGATGTAACTTGTTTTATCTTCATGGATAACAAAATTGGACATCAAATGAAAACAGAGAGAAAGTGATATAACTGCATAAAAGGCATAGTAACTTTTTCCTTCTAGTTTTAAATGGTCTCAAGTCGAAGTAATTTTTCCTTCAATATAACTTGAATATTATATAAGTGGTTATAGAAAAGAGTGGGTAGTTATATTGATCTGGCACTGGAGGTGTTATTTTTTAAGAGATGAAGAAAAGTCCATTCTCTTCTAATGTTTAATATTATTTTTTAAATTTGTTTAAAATGTTTTATTTTATTTATTGTGGCATTTTTCCTCATAGTTTGTTGTCTACTTTTCCTACTTGTATTTTCCTGAAAATAAGATCCTGTCTTATAATTTTTTGGCCACCAAAAAATGCATTCCCTTATTTTCGGAGGGGAATGTTGTCCACTGACTCACTCATTTGCAGGCGTTGCCCTTGGCCTCCTTTTCGCTGTCAGAGGCCTTCAGGAACTTCTTCAGCCAGCAATGCTTTCCTGAAGGCCTCTGCAGCTGATAACAGAGCTCCAGATTGATCCCTAGCTCTGTTATTGGCCACAGAGGCCTTCAGGAAAGGCCTTTAGGAAAGGACTGTGCAGCTGATAACATTGATCATCAATCGATCCAGAGCTCTGTTATTGGCTACAGTAGCCTTCAGGAGGGTCTTGCCAGCCACAGAAGAAATGGGCTGAGGTGTGCAAGGCCTGGCTGCAACTGTCCGAAGATAAGTAGTAGGGCAGTTCCAACGCCCCCGTCCCCACCCTAGCTCAATTTTTATCCATGCACCCTGGAGTAGGCGGTCTTAATTAGGGCTTATTTTGGGGGTAGGACTTATATTGAGCACATGTATAAAAATCAAGCTAGGACTTACTTTTGGAGTAGGTCGTATTTTGGGGGAAACGTGAGTAGTTTCAAGGACATTGGAAATGGAAAAGGACTATAGCTGTTAATTGTAAATAAATAATGACATAAACGAAAAGGAAATGAATATTTAACAGACTGGACAAATAAGCTCACATAACACATATGCTCCATGTCTTTTGGCTTACTAAAATACTACAGTGATGATCCTATGTTGATAAAGATTGTGTTATAATTTGAAATGAGCAATACTGAAGTGACTGGATGGTCAAGATGATATAGTTTCTTAGGTTAATTTTTGGCATCAGAAAAAAATCATGTCTTTGTGGGTTGCAGTAATGGACTATGCATTAATTTGATGTATACTCAAATTTAATATTTAATATGAGTCAGACAAAAAATTTAAAAAACAACTAAGGTTACACTAAAGGTGTAAAAGTACTGTAAGTTCCTAACATTCAAATGGAAGTCTGTAGACATGAAGTTTAATTCCTGTTATGATTTGAAGCATTTGGGAATAATTTCATTGAAAAACTCTGTCAGTAAATACTATGAAATAATCAAATTTAACAGAATTGGGATGACTTCTGCCATTTGTGTGCATGCTTTCTTGAATTGTATGCTAAGATTCAAATCATTCTGGAGTTTAAAGACATGTAACAGCAGCCAGTAGATATTTATAGTAGGCAGCTTTGACGTCTATTCTACACTATCATCCCAGTGCCAAAGAAGCCCTCCATCATGCAACTGAATGACTGCAGACCAGTTTCTCTAACATCTGTAGTTATGAAAACCTTTGAAAGACTAGTGCTGTCCCACCTGAAAACCATCACGAATCCGCTGTTAGATCCCATACAGGTTTGTATACCCACCAAATAGATCAACAGATGATGCTGTTAATATGGCTCTGCACTACATCCTACAACACCTTGAATCTCAAATACCTATGCAAGGGTCGTCTTTGTGGACTTCAGTTCAGCATTCCATACCATCATCCAATACATTCTTCTAACTAAAATAAACAAGCTAGCGGTACCTGAACACACTTGTAAGTGGATCATAAGCTTCCTAACAGACAGGAAGCAGCAGGTGAAGCTAGGCAGAATCACATCTGATACCTGTACAATTAGCACAGGGCCCCCTCCCCCAAGGCTGTGTGCTTTCTCCATTTCTCTTCTCCCTATACACCAATGACTGCATCTCAAATGATCCATCTGTTAAAATACTATAAGTTTGCAGATGGTACAACAGTGATTGGTCTCATTCGAGAAAACGATGAATCCGCATACAGACAGAAGGTTGTACAACTTGCCTCATGGAGTAACTGGAACAATCTGGAACTGAACACACTCAAAACTGTAGAAATGGTGGTAGACTTTAGAAGAAACCCTCCTATACTACCACCTCTTACGATACTAGACAACAGTATCAACAGAGATTTACAAATTCCTAGGTTCTATCATATCACAAGACCTAAAATGGACACCTAATATCAAAAACATCATCAAAAAAAGCACATTAAAGAATGTTCTTTCTGTACCAATTAAGAAAGCTCAAACTGCCCAAGGAGCTGCTGATACAGTTCTACAGAGGAATTATTGAATCTATCATCTGCACCTCTATAACTGTCTGGTTTGGTTCTGCAACCCAACAGGACAAAGACTTCAGAGGATAATTAGGACTGCAGAAAAAACAATTACTACCAACCTGCCTTCAATCGAGGACCTGTATATGCATGAATCAAAAAGAGGGCTGTGAAAATATTTACAGACCCATCATATCCTGGACATAAATTGTTTCAACTCCTACCCTCAGAACAACGCTACAGAACACTGCATGTGAGAACAACTAGACACAAGTACAGTTTTCCCCCGAACACCATCAACAAATAATTCCCTCAACACTGTCCAACTATTTACAAAGTCTGCACTACTATTACTATTAATCTTCTCATCACTCCTTATCGCCCCCTCCCCTATAACTTTGTCATTTGTATCCTTACGATTTATATTGACTGTTTCCTAGTATGATTTGATTGCTTATTGTATCCTATGACTATTATTAAGTGTTGTACCTTATGATTCTTGATGAATGTATCTTTTTTTATGTATACTGAGAGCATTTGCACCAAGACAAATTCCTTATGTGTCCAATCACACTTGACCAATAAAGTATTCTATTCTATTCAAGTTATGTGCCAGTGGCTTCATGGCTAAGAGCCATATGGAGCCTGCTTATATGCCATAAAGAAGGCCATAATAA